GGGGGGGCTGTCAAAGGACCTAAGAGATGGATTTGGTTCTTCAGTGGTCAGTGGGAGGGTGTCTGTAAAGATGTCATTCTTAAGGAGGGGGAGCATGGAGGAAAAACTGAGGTATGCCAAATAACACAAGAACTGGACTGAAAAATCTGTGACGACAGTGATGTGATTAATTAATATTCAATTGTCGGTTCAAACTGCCGTCAGTGTGTTCAAAAAAAACCAAGAGGTAAAATAGAGAGCCATCTTTAAAACACAGTGGAGGTTCTATCATGGTTGTATTGCCTCTGATTCAATTATAATAAAGAAAAATACTGACAGATTTTGATCTAGCATGGCGAGGAAGCATCTGATTGATGCCTCATTTTTCAGCACAGGAGTGATTCCAAACACACTGCCAATGCAGGAAATGCATACCTGGACAGAAAGAACACACACACAATGAAACATGGTCAGTCATGGATTGGCCTCTCCAGAGCCCAGCCTCAACATTTTTAAAGCAATGTGGGATGGCAGAATTGACAGACTGAGGGAAAACAGAACAATGAAACAAACACCCAAAGACAAACTTTGAATGTCCTTCAACAAGCCAGGAGAACTAGTGTCGAAGGCTACTTACAGAAGTTACAAGAAAGTTTCCATAAGAGAATTCAGGTTGTGTTGAAGAATAAAGGTTGTCATACTAATATTTGCTTTGATGCTCTTTAGAGTAGTAAAAACTCAGTTTTTGTCATATACAGCCTATTTCTGTGCATATTTAAAAAGTCGCTTCCGTTTTTTTCTAATTTCTCTGCAAAATATAAAGAAATGGGGGGGGTCAATATTTTTGCACAATACTGTAGATGCATGAGGTTGCTTTCTGCACAAATTCACATCTTGCATTTTTGTTTTTCTTGCTCAAGTTTGGGTCAGATTCAAATTTAAACCAAACATTTCATCTAAAATGCAAAGCTCGGACGTCATTAACTAGTGTGGTAACTTTTCAGTCGTTACCAATTTTGGAGTAACTGGTTTTCCGTTACTTACCTGTGCTGTAACGCCACCAACCCCAAAGTTAAGACCTGAGCCACCTCCAGCTGTGTGGGCCACTCTCCCGCAGCGACACACCCAAAGACTCCGCACTCCTCTCCAATACCCGACTCCTCGAACTCCATGGGCTCGCCTGTCGCCGATGCCTCTCGTATAAACTGCGGTCTAGTCTCGCGCCTAGTTGTCTGTGAGCAATTACCGTGCGCGCGCGTGTTTGTATGAGCGCTTGCCTGATACACGTTCGTGACCAAACACGTGCTTGCAGCGATACAACGTGGTTTGTTAAAACATACCAAACTCAGCTGACACTGCTGAATTGGGCATGAAATCACGAGTAACAGAGTTAAATCAGACTATACACGTTTTAACCTAACAGCCGGTCCGCCATAACTAAAATCATAACGAATTAAATGAAATACGTGGAATTTATGAATAATTCTAATCAAATTAATCGATTAGGTCAAAAACCACACTATTTAGTCCTGTTGGAGCTTTTGATAAGACAACCTTCTCAGCAAAGAGTAAAAGGATGAACTTTGGTAGAAAACCCTTCAAAAGTTTTTTTCTTTTTACGTCTTGTCTTGACGTTTGAGCGCTTCCCTTTCACGTGGTAACAGATGCGCCGCTGTGATTGGTTGTTTAGATGAGTTGAGAACTGTGATTGGCTCCCGGCGCAAGTATGACACGGCCCACTTCCCCTCCCCGGCTGCCTGCACACCTTCTGCTTCTCAATAAGTTAACTGGCGTGTTTTGTGATTTGTCTTTCAGGACTGTTCAGGATCGACGAGCGCTATGGCATCCACCCCAGGTACTGCACGATCCTTAATACACACGTTAGCGCTTAAGTTAGATGTGCGTGTTTTAACTTTTTCCTCTTTTTTTTCCAGAGTTGAAAGTCGGCCAAAAGCTCAATGAGGGCAAGACAAAACAGATTTTCGAGCTCTTGGACCAGCCGGGACTGGTTCTAGTCCAGTCTAAAGACCAGATCACGGCTGGGAATGCCGTGAGGAAAGATCAGATGGAGGGCAAAGCTGCCATTGCCAACAAAACTACGAGCTGCGTGTTCCAGCTGCTGCAGGAGTCTGGTGAGGACTTATTGAATGTTTGTAGGGGGGGGACAGTATTCTGCAGTCTGAGTGGGTTGGGGCAGTTCTGTCAAACGCATGTGTATAATTATTGCAGCTCTTTTTTTCCCCATTTAAAAAAAAAAAAAAGTCCCTTACACTTGGCCAGTATCTAGGCACATTGTTTCTGCAGAAGTTTTTGTGAGCAACAAACTATCAAAGGTAAATTGATTCAGTAGAGTTTACTGGAAAAAACCAAACTTTGGACTCATTGATCTTTTCAGTTTCAGTTAATGTGGGGGCTTAAATGTTAAGAAAATATAAAACGTTTGTCACACTTTGTCAGAGCCCTGGCTCACTTATTCAGTTTGCAGGATTTTTCTGAAATGCCATTGGATTTATTTAAATATCTCAGAAGTACATGGTAATCAGTTTTCCACACATGGGAAGCAGTTCGGCTCTTCTCATTTTTGCAACTTTTAAAAAATGACTTATTTTTTTTAACCCTCTGAATGACAATCCACTAAGAACTGAATTTTATGTTGTGTTTCATGGATGGATGGGGGGTGAATTGAACAGAAATGACAATCTTGCAAAAATACTTAAATGTGAAGGGCATGCAAGATTTACATGATCCCAAAATTACTTTCCATATGACTTTTAATTTATAAGCAATTGGCTAACTGTAACCATCTTGTGTGTGATGCGTAGGTCAGTCAAGCTGTAGTAATGGCTGCCTTGTGACTTGATGTGTTTCCACTTAGAATTAACCCGATTCAACCAGCCACATCCCATCCACTTGACCCTAATCAAAGATGGGTTTAAATCATGGTAACTTGAAGAGCCATCTGTGTGCCAGTGTATAAAAATTAAATAAAATCTATATTTTTCCAATCTGACATGGTTGCACATATTGAAATTTGTCCATTAGTTTGAGGTTGCCCTAACATCCACCCTCCCCCCCAGGCATTAAGACAGCTTTTGTTAAGCAGCACTCGGACACGGCGTTCATTGCAGCGCACTGTGAGATGATACCCATTGAGTGGGTATGTCGCAGAGTGGCGACTGGCTCTTTCCTCAAGAGGAATCCAGGAGTCAAAGAGGGCTACCGCTTTTCTCCTCTAAAGATGGAGATGTTCTTTAAAGTGAGTCTTCCAGGCGTGCTGTGATTCTCTCGATGCATTTTCAGTCTGTGAGTGTTGCATGCAAACTCATCAATGATTGTTTTTAGGATGATGCCAACAATGATCCTCAGTGGTCAGAGGAGCAGCTGCTGGAGGCCAAATTCTGTCTGGCTGGGCTCACTATTGGTCAGTGTGAGGTGGACATAATGAATCGCAGCACTGTGGCCATTTTTGAGATTCTGGAGAAGGCCTGGGCCACTCAGAACTGCACCCTGGTGGACATGAAGGTAGGCTGTGCAGCACCTCCCCCTGCTGGTTAATTTCATATCTTGGTGCAATCACTTTTCTTCTGTACCTACAGCAGAACTACAACTAAGGACTTTTTTTCTTTGCTTATAGATTGAATTTGGTGTCAATGTGAAAACTCAAGAGATTGTGCTCGCTGACGTGATTGATAATGATTCATGGAGGCTTTGGCCAGCTGGAGATCGGAGCCAGCAGAAAGATAAACAGGTCATGCATTGACTTTCATTTCATGCTGATATGAGGGGGGGAAAAAGATACAAGCCTTAAACTGTTTTTTTTTCTTCCCCTTTGTAGGTGTACAGAGACCTGAAGGAGGTTACCCCAGAGGCAATGCAGATGGTGAAGAGGAATTTTGAGTGGGTCTCTGAAAGGGTCAAGGTACAGCAAACAAACTCTAAATTCTTCTTTATCCTGTAGGAGTATTTTGCTTTGAATATCTTAACCAACAGACATTGTTTAACATCACAAAAGCCTGCAGCTGCTTTTTATGCAATTCGGGGGGAAAAAACGAGTACAATTTGAGCAGTCAAAAACTGAAATAAACTGATGATTCAATGGTTTCTGTGCATCTACAGTTGCTGCTGAAGCCCCAGGCAAGCAGCAGGGTGGTGGTTTTAATGGGTTCCACCTCAGACATGGCCCATTGTGAGAAGATAAGAAAGGCGTGCACCTCCTACGGGATCCCCTGCGTCCTCAGAGTCACCTCGGCACACAAGGGTCCAGATGAGACGCTCCGAATCAAGGCTGAATATGAAGGTGTGCTTTGATATTGACATAATTCCATCTTTAAACTGATCCAGGGATTCTTGATAATGTGATAATTTCTCTATGCTTTTTTGCAGGTGATGGGATACCCACTGTATTCGTGGCTGTGGCTGGGAGAAGTAACGGCCTCGGCCCAGTGATGTCTGGTAACACGGCTTACCCTGTTATCAACTGCCCTCCTCTCACTCCAGACTGGGGATCGCAAGATGTATGGTCATCCCTCCGCATGCCAAGTGGTGAGAAGAGCTCTTTAGAATAGAATGCCTTTATTGTCACTATACAGATGTACAATGAGATACAGATGATCTCCTACTCGGTGCAAACATGTTGGAGAAGGAGGGGGGGGGTGCATCGTTTCTGCAGCAATATATACATGTGCAGTGTGAATCATACATACGGTTTTAATTTTTTCCCCCTTATGGTAACCAAGTCTTTCTCTACTTTATTTGTCCTGCAGGTCTTGGGTGCTCCACAATATTGTCTCCAGAAGCTTCTGCCCAGTTTGCAGCGCAGATCTTCGGGTTGAGTGACCACCTGGTGTGGTGCAAACTGAGGGCATCCATGCTCAACACCTGGGTGTCTCTCAAGCTGGCTGACAAGAAGTTACAGGCCTGCAGCCTCTGAAGAGCCCAGCGTGCTTCACACTTTAACACACTGTCTTTGTTTACTATTAAAAACCCATTAAATGTAGTTGTTTGTCACACATATCATTCCATTAAGAGACAAATGATTAAAGCTTATATGTATTTCTGTGCATTTTCTTTCTTTAAGACTCATTTTTATGAGTTTATATACTCATATTCATGAATCCCATGATAGTTTGGAGGTTTTCATGATTTTTTTTTTTTTGAACTTTTGTTTTTCCAAGGTTGTAATGAGTGCACTTCATATGTCCTTGATGATTTAAAAAAAGGTGCAGAGCTTTGAGATAATTGCCCAGGTTCTAAATTATACATACTGGCTCACCTACATACATGCATACAGATATGAGTGAGTGTATGCATGTATTTTTTTTTTTTAAAAATGGAGTTGAAGGTTCTACGATGTCTTAAGCTGAAAATGCCAAGGCCTGTTAACTCCTTATTAGACCACCTCACATTATTGTCACTGTTTGGCTTTCAAGCGTAACACTGTACCAACTGTTGTGTGTGTCGGGGTGGTACTGTCATGCTCTCGGGCTGTTTTGTTGCCAGCAATACTGGCACATTGCACAAAAGCGATGGTATAATGGACTACCTCAAAATTCAACATCAGCTATATTTAACATCTATGGTTAAAACTTGGACCCAATTGGATGTTCCGACAGGGCAATGACCCCAAATACACATTAAAGCTGTTCAAATAATACATGAAGCAAGCCAATATTAAACTGGCGTAATGGCCTTCCCAAATCCCTGACCTCTCCTCTACTAAAAATGTGTGGACTACGCTTAAAGGCTGGGTTAGTGCCAGGAAATAAACTCTACCAATCCAGCCAATAAGAGTGGTCATATATCCCAACCAGAACTATGTAAGAAGCTTGTTGATGGCTACCAAAAGCCTGGTGAAAGTGCACCTTGCTAAGGGACATTAAATCAAACAGTAGTAGCCATGAAAATCTACATAAATTGAAAATTGTGTACCTAGTTCTTGTTTTAGATCTATGCTGTACAATCATTCAACCTTGTAAAATGAATAAATTACCAAGGCATTTAATGTCATGGTATACATTTGGGAACAGTCAGATAACTTTAGGGCTATTTAAATCATTAATGTAGGGAGATGAGGAGGAGCAATTTTTACCTCAGTTTAAAACCACAAGAAAGACAGTTTTTCTGCAGATACTTTCCCAATGGTTTTATCACCATGAGCAGGATTTCATCTTAAGAGATACTGTGGAGTAGCTTTGCTAAATATGGATAATTTCAACAGAGGACAAGTTAAAAATAAGCAAAATGTTGGGCATGGTATAAAAGACTACTGTTGGCACAGGTGCAACATCTTCATCTGCTCCTTACAGAGTCGCTGCATCCTTTTTATACCTACAATATCAGTCTAAGCACTTAAAGCATTTGTACTTGTATTTATTTTTAAAAATCAAAAGGGTTCCCGTGTGAATCTGCATGTAGTAAATATGGCGATTTGTTTCATGGAGGCATGCAAGATAGCTGCTTTTCACCTAAGCTAAGTAGCTTGCAAGCAAGTCATGAACTGGGATGCAGAGCTTCTTTTCTATTACTAAACCTTCACCTTATGTTTGCGTCTCATTCTTATGCCTAACTTCATGTTCTACATGCTGCAGGACCTGAAATCAGCCACACGAGGGAGCCTGCACCCCATGTTCACGATCCAAAATCTTAACCTTTCATTTCGTTCCAGTAGTTTGCAGCCAAGGGAATGAGTCAGAATATCATGCCACCATTTTATTTTTTACTTGTATTATAGCCCAGTTCTCCCTTTGATAACAAATGATGGGTATAATGACCTGTGATGTGCTAAATCTTTGTTCACGTGTGGGTGTCAGTGGGAGGATGGAAGTGCTGAGGGTTCCGAGCGTGGTTCACATGAGTGCATGGAGGCTGATATCTGATAATAATAATAATAATAATAAAAAGTCTTTGCATTTTAATTTGGATCGAATTCCATACTTAAAAATATGATTTGCTGCACGAATCATCCTTCTTCTCTCGCAGTCGACATGCACCAGAAAGGGTAGAGGTGCAGTCACAGAGCTGAAATGGACATAATGTGTAAGTCTCAACGATTCCAGGTTTCCTTGACAACAGTAACATGGCAACAATCACTCCATATACAATAATCTCCCTTTCCTTTTTCTGCTCCTTTTCTTATTCTCATGCTGGGCTCTTTGAGTCCATTTTTAAAAAAGAAAGCTCTTTAATTCCTGCCTGTCATCACTGGCCTTTCACTGTTTTACTGCGCACTATAATAGCTCACGAACAGTGAATGAATCATCAGAAAAGCATAACCTGTAAATGAGTTATGAAAATGTGTGGTCATGACTTTATCTGGGGCTTGGACTGTTTTTAATGTGATTTCCTATTCAGTGTATAAAACGCGTGGCAGATAGTAAAATAACAGACCTCAAGGCCACTGTGCACTCACTTTCTCAAGACTCAAAAAAGCAATTTATTTAGTTCTCAAAGCTGTGAAGGTTGCAGTTAAATGTCACTACTACAGTTTATTTACATGTTTCTACAACGGTATTTTATCATCTCCTTTTCTGTCTACAGAGTTTCTATATCATCCTATCAACAATTATCCTCTGATGAGTGAGCCTCACAACATTGTCCTGTTATCACTGTTTCCTTCACATTTTCTTAGTCACTCAACTCCTCCTGTCTTGTCTACTCATTTGCATCACTACTTCTTTTTCTCTTTGTTGGTATAATACATCCCTTCCAGCTATCCCTGTTAACAATCTAACCACTTGCTCCCCGTGGGGCACCATCACAGTGCTCCCAGATCGTGGCAGGAGCGGGACTTCTGCCTCAGGAACTTCCCCACCTCTCGCTCTCGAGGGTACCGAGGCACCAGACTGGACAGGAAACGTTTGGCACGAGATGTGATGCTTTCACGTTGCCCTCCTCCGCTCATGTCCTCGGCGCTTGTCCCCGGAGGCCAGGGAGACTGGCCCCTGGCTAGTCGCACCGCACACTCCAGGAGTTCCACGGTACGGTGATCCAGAGAGGCGGAGATCTCCAGATACAGACAGTTGAAAAGGGCAGCGCTAGACATGGCCTCTGTGAGAGGAAAACAGGAGACGGAGGAGATCAGAAAAAAGGCAGCTGTCACAGCTTATATTCAGAGCCACATGTCTTTTCATCCATATAAACCTTTTGATACTCCTTCACCTGTAATTGATTGTTGGTAGTAGAGGTTCCAAGCCAGGGCACGTCTAAGAGGAAGAGCTGCATGTCAGCCTTCAGTGACGACTAAGAAGGCTACTCTTACAAAGCACAATACTTGGGAAATATGTGATAAAAATGTTCCCGCTTAAGGTGGAAACAACAAACATGTTTCACCATTTGAGGCAAAAACACACCAGGGAATACAACCAGATGTCCAACACAAAAACAAATGAGTGACTCCACTGAGATTTACTAACAACACTCAGTACATGCACTCCATGTACTGAGTCAGGCAAGCATTAAGAAAATGTTCAGTTTAAAAAATATATATACTGTCACAAATATTATGGTCACAAAACCTTCTTGAAATGTTGAGCACTACGTTGCAGGTTTATGATCCGTGCCTTAATCTGTGTTCAGAATACAGAAAAAGGCCATTATAACAACATAAACCATCACACGAACCTGGCCTTAAGCAACAAAAGGGTGCCCATTTATCCCAGGCCCACCGCTGTTTCCAGTCAGCACATCGTAAAACACACTGTAAAGTATGGCTGAATAAATGAAATAGATTTGTGTGTACACAGCTGAATCAATAAGGACAGGTAGCTGTAAATATTGTGATTACACCGTAAGTCATTAGCAACCATGATATGTTGTGTATCATCTAAGGCTTGTAGCTGGGGTTATGGAAGGATCTTCTACTCAAAGGAGCAATTACCCTTTAAAAGTGAAAATTTCAGGGTTAAAGTCTCAAAAAGATAACTAAAACAGCAAGAGCAAGCTTTTATCTCTTGGTAATGAAAACTGTGCTGGAGGGAAGATGTCTGCATGCTAAGTGAGATATCTTTCATAGTTTTCCAACTGTGCAAAACACGCAATACGAAGTATGTCATCAAGAGGTTTATACAACGACTGGATCGCCTGTGATAGTGATAGTTAATATTTACTGATTAAGTAAACAGGACAGAGCTTGTATAAAGTAAGCTAAATCAAGCTGGAATTTTTTGCTTTAGTTTCTTTATATAGTTCTGTAGCACATTTGTCTTTAGTTTCATCTTCAATGCAGACCATGATCTCCCTCTGCAGTATTGGTCTGCAGGGTCATTTAAATAAGGAAGAATGGCATACACTGGGTTGAAAAGTATGTAGTTTCATAGCCTGTGTGATATAAAACTGTGGCGTGTGGACAAGCAGCGTAGTCACGGTGAACAGGCTTTTGCTTTAACTGTAATTAAACTCCCACACTGCAATAAAGCATGACATTCACATTTACGTTGTTTATGGAGAGAAAGAAAGAGCGTAAAATGTCAATGTCAAGTGTAATGAAGAAAGCCAAAACAGAACTAAACTGTGAAAAGAATCTGCTCCCAAAGGAAATGTTTATACTTTATATGAAAGAGTAATGTAAAGTGTAATGTATCAAAAAATATATTTTTTTTAGGTGACTTGGAAAAGATAATCGTCTCACCTTGAGAGGTGACCTCACGCGTGCGAACGAGGTCACTCTTATTACCAACGAGGATTATTGGAGTCTGGGGCTGAGTCTCTCTCAGGAGAAGCCGAAGTTGCGCGGTACGGTGGAAGCTACGCCTGTCAGTCACCGAAAACACCAAGACGCACACCTCGCTCTGCAGAGCCGACAGGTCCTTAATGACAAGCACAGGGACAGAGGATGATGCATTTTTGTTCTTTGTGAAATATAAGACACTAAAATAGAAATGAAATTAAAAAAACCCAAAACAAACTCAAAGGTTCTAATTCAAACTGATGTAGTATTTTGCATATAAATCAAAGTCTTTTTCCTTCATAATGTTTAATTTCCAGTGCTCTGATGAATATTTCCACCAACCCTAAAAATACAGAAAAGAGAAAGATTGTGTTTGAAGAACCAGCAGGTGGCTGA